GACGTTAAAAATCTACTGTTCAGAAGTTGGTGTTTCAGAATCAGTTTGTCTGTTTGAAAAATACAGTTCTGCTTGAAAATCATAGTTATGAAAGTATTGTCTGTGGAAAAAATTCAATGATAATTTATCAAGTTATTTTTACTCACAACACCGTAAACGAATTTAAAGTGAACATGAACTGAATTTTCTACCTTCAAAATAATCATAAAAACATAACTTCAACATGATATATTCAAAATAAGTTGCATAGCAGCTAAATATATGAGTTTGCTTACAACAAAACCTAATACATCAACGTTATCTAAACAAATACAATGTTAACAATAATAAAAGAAGTGATATGATTACAAAGCCAAACAAGAGCAAGGTCTTCACAAGTAATTTCAAAGCTTTGAGATCATTCTTCACCGTATCATCACATATATTTATCTTTTCATTACCTCGCTTCTTTATTGCATCGCTCGGTTCATCCACCCATTTAAAAAATTTGCAATAGCGGTTTATTAAATTTTTGGACACATGGAATATTTTCGGTTAGTATTATCACATTTCTGAGTCGTGAAAACAACACAAAACATGTTGAAATCACGAAATACTGGTCGATGTTTGGTGCCTTTAGAGCGTGTGGAATAGCTTGAGCTCATTTTGAATATTGAAAATTGATAAAATGTATAATATGGGTGGATTTGAAAAATGAATAACAAAAAGGAATAGTTTTATAAATCAAAAGTTTATCTCACTAATATTGGTTTATGTGTGGGTGTGGGGGGGGGGGGGGTCATTTACATACAAACCGACAATTCTTATCTATTTATAACACAAACATTCATATTTACATAAAAAATATTACCAACATTATCTCTTTAAAAGGAAAAGACACACATTTATGTCTGTATGTAATTACATAAGAATTGTGGGGTACCTATGTAAATTTCCATATATTATTCCAGCATGCTTCGTGGACAAATAGTCTGCGTTATAGACTTTGTAGTACAGCCAGATCGAAAGTAGTTTGGCCACATTTTGGCACATAGTCTTAGTTTCTTATTTTGGTGACTTTGAATTAATTACAGTCAACATTTATGTAAAATTTAATTAAATATTTTATTTCAATAATAGCTAACTTATTTTGAAAGCTTCAAAGCTTCAATTCAAAATTTATGACATACATTTCACACAATTTTTATGTATTTATATGTATAATATTTAATTTTTTATATTTATATATATAACGCATAATTCTTTAATATTACATAAAAACATCACTTTTACTAACTTTTTAAAAAGTGAAATATAAAATTTTATACATATGTTTATGATATCGAAGTGTTAGATTTGTAAATATTAAATTTTAGTTTTTAAATGTATAAATAGGTAAGAATAGAGGGGCAAGCATGTAAATTTCCCTAAAATTAAACTTACCTCAAGTCATCATATTTTTCTTCTCCTTTCTAATGCTAATAATTATAAGAATATGAGAATGCACTTTTTATTTTTATTTTTTTATTGAAATGATGATAATTTTATTGAAAATAATATTAAATTCTAATTTAATTTAATAAATATTTAATATCAAACTCTAAGATCACAATTGAAAATTAAAAAAAAATCTAAATATTATTATCATTAGGGCTGTCAAAAAAAATCGTTGCTCGAGAACAGCTCGTATTCGGCATGTTCGTTAAGTAAACAAGGCGAATATGAAAAAATTTTTAAAACTCAAATTATAAATGAGTCGAACACGAGCCAAGCCTGAGCTCGTTTATAGCCCTAATCATAAGTACAAAATATGTCTTTATTTATGAATAAGCTAAATTATTATTCTTTTTTATAAAGAGATTAACCTACAAAAATTGCATATAAATATCTCCAAAATATAATTTTAAAAGTTAATTTCTTTTTATTTTTAAGTAATTTATCCAAGATTTTAAAACTCCATTATGCTTTAAATCTCAATTGTAATAAAATAATCAATTTTCCTTATTTTAATATGTTTTATAAATTCAATTCTTAAGTTTGATCATTTAATTTAAATTCTTAAAAAAAAAAAAACTGAACATATCATTTTCATGGAATTTATCCCAAAACCAATAAAATTCAGATAAATAAACATATTTTAGCAAATTTTAAATCCTTGCAATTAAAATCAACAAAAACTAAAAAATGAAACAAATTTATGCTATTTTTAAAATTTTAAACTGCCTGCAATTTTTTCATAATTTACCCCGAAACAATCAGATTAATTACATGATCAACATCCTATTTCAAAAAAAAAAGCTCATATCCTCCTCTAACCCTCAAATCTCAGGCCACAGCGAGACGCTCCGATCTTCTACCGCGCGCAGAATTCGAATCTCCCGCCACAAACCACATCTCCTTCTCCGCCATTAAGATCTGATACTTTTCAGCTTTCCAGGATCTCTCCCCGCCGGCTTCAGGGAACAGGGAAGCGTAGGAGGATGAGATCTGATAAAGTATGTGTAGGAAAAGGGTTTCTTCGCAGGGAAGCGAGAGCGGACCAGGATGAGAATACCCGTACTCCTCTGCCGCTTCGATTAGCAGCTTTCTGAAAGCCGGATGGTTGAGATGCGAAGCTCTCACCACAAATCTGCGTTTTCTGCTTCCCACGCACACGGCTAGATGCCCCTCCGGGACGTCCGGCGGGTAACTGGAAGCGGTGGTCGCCGGAGATCCACGAGCCCTTGTTGTCCATCCGCTCAGCATCTCCCGAACCCACATAATGAATTGGATTGTGCGGCTCTTATCCATCTTGCTCTGTCTCCGTTTCCCCTGTTTCGAAGTTGGAAGGGAGGAAATTGGTTTTGAGCAAGGGGAGCGAAGAGGCCCGGGTGGTATTTATAGGTAGTTCGGTTCCACAAATTCACTGCTATTTTAAGATAATTGCATAAATTGGTGTTATATGTATGGGGCCTTTGCGAGAGAGAGAGAGAGAGAGAGAGAGAGAGAGTACAACAAGGAACATGAAAAGAGAGCATCTTTTTTATTCATGATATAAACACTTATTGATTGACATAGGTCTCAACATTACAGAAATACATATTAGTCCCCTCTTCATTGATTTATCAGTGAGACTTTTTGATTGTTTACAGAGATATTTGCATACAATAAATTAGAAGACCAGTTTGATCGACAAGAAATTTACGGACTACATATTGAGTCTTAGCTCCGTCAAAATCTAGTTCGAGAGAATACTTCTTGCCGATCGTTCTGATGATCAATCACCTCCTTGTGAGAGATCCCATAGCATGCTCTGCTGATCGCACGAACATGGTGCTCTCTTCAATTGTGTCCAAATCAGACGGTTGTCTACGAGTCACGTCTGATCGGTAATATCTTCTTCCCAAGCCGTCTATTTATCTTAAGAGTCATGCTGACATATTTCTTGCATGGATTTATGGCACCAAGGAGTTAAAAGTTTGGGTATGGAGAAATATAAGAATGGTGTGAATTATTGTAAAATTTCAATTTGTTGAATGATAAATTAACAAAATTTTGAGGGAATGAATTAGTTTTGAGTATTCGTTTGAATTGAGGTTGTTTTTTTAGATAAGTTTGTTCAAAAATGTTATTTTGAATTATTTAAAAAATGCTACCTGATTCGACTAATTTATGGCCATCGATTTTAGAAAATAACATTTAAGAACAGACCCTATAGTTTTTATGTATTTATATATCCAACACCTAATTTTTTATATTTACATATATGCCACTCAAATTGGTAACATCACAGTAAAAATTTATTGTTTTTTATTTTTTAAAAATAAACCATATTTTGTCATGTAAATTTAAAACACTAATGTGTAATAAATGTAAATATGAAAATTTTTATGTGTTTGATATTTAAATACAGAAGAACAAGAGCAAAATTTTGGTTTTGATATCACCTTGAAAACCATATTGTTAAAGTTTTGAGAAAAATAGGCTGAATTCTGAATAGGTTCAATGTCTTTTCCCTTTGGTTTCATTTCATTAAATAATAATCTTATAATCTATTTTAGGTATAAAATATTATGTATAATCTATTTTAGGTAATTTAATAGCAGATATTCCTAATCAAAATATTCACCTAAAAGGGAAATAAATCAAAATAAAGATATTGGAAATAATTTAAATAAGTAAGCTCCTATTTATAGAGAACTCCTAATTTAGTTGTTGGATTTCGGTCCTTTCTGATTGACATAAACAATACAAACATAAGATTTTTTATTTTTTGAGAGCATATGTTGTTGTGAAAAACAACGACAATAAAGTAAAAAATTAGATTGAGAAAAAGCGCAAATCAGAAAAGAACACAGTGAAAAACACAGATTTAAGTAGTTCGACAAATTGCCTATGTCCACGAAGTTGCAGATGATTTTATTAACTAGAGGATTACACTCGTCAATCACCCCAACTCAGGAAGCTGTGGCATGCGATTCCTTTTTCCTGTAAAAACAATGTTTGAGAGAGATAAGAAGGGAAGATGTATCATGCATATTTATAAATCTCATCATGCTATTATGCCCATTAAAGAATTAATCAATATGATTTTGTTAATTTATTTTCTTAATTTAGTTCTTCGAATTATATTCTACTAAAATTATATATATTGATTATGATATACTGTATAATCCTCATATGTAGCATGCATGTGAGTTTGATTTGGTTGAATTTCTAACAAATTTTAAAGCACAAATATCACCTTCAATCATATGCATGCATGCATGTATGTATGTATATATACATACATACATACATACATACATATATATGACAGCCCACTTGCCTAATTTTTGTGACAGCTCACATACATACATACATACCAACTGAAATACATCTTTGTGGTGATCGACGGTGTGCGGTGTCCGTATGGATTTTTGTAATCAAACAGTGTGCATAATTTATCTGCTATATGACAGCTCACTTGAACTTTTTAATAGGGGCATTTACATGCAGACCACACGATTTTTATGTATTTACATATCTAACACAATCTTATATATTTACATGCATAGCACACAAATCTTTATTATTACATTAAAAATATCAATATTACTAACCTTTTGGAGTTGGAAATCATTTTCAGGCATGTTTACGAAACTAAAGTGTTATAAATGTTAATATCAAATTTTATGTGTTGGATATGTAAATTCATAAAAGTTTGTGATAGTATATAAAATTTCCTTTTTTATAATGCTTTTGTGGAAACCAGTTTATATGGAAACAACTTTCGACCGTAGTTTCCGGCGAAACTTTTTATAAATTCTTTTATGGTTGCTAAAATTAACAAAATAAATCTTCTCAATTAAAAAATAAAAAGCAAATTTGACATATCATAATTAGGGCTGTCAAAACTGCTCGTTATTCGTGACCAACTCGTGTTTTATTAGTTAAGAAGCCCTTGTTCGGCTCATTCGCTAAGTTAACGAGCCGAACACGAACAATATTTGTTCGTTCGTGTTTAGCTCGTTTTGGCTCGAAATATTAATAATAAATTAAAT